AAATGTTTACACTAAGCATTTATTTATGTTCCGAGTGAAGCTAATTTTAATGCATATATATATACAGCTGAGGACAAAGTACATCATTACAAAAAATATGAAAATGACATACAAAATTACACAATTGCACAAAAATACATTTGTTGATGTATTGAAATTTGATGTATTTTCCATTTTTTCATTAATTGCATTTCCATTATTAAACTGATTTTGCAGGTAACTAAAGCTATTTAATGTAGTGAACATTTAATGGTGGTACTTGCCTCTAAATTAAACTGCAGTTGAGGTAAAACAGGGGAAAACTGAACTATTTAAGTCTCTCAAAACACAGAACTTGATGAAATGTAGCCATTTAATTACCTTACACTGCCGCCTGCGGTTAAGAGTTAAAACTGTTTATCATAACAGGATCATTTGAGCTATTATGACCTGAATATAAGATATATTTAAAATGTATTCAGACTGCCAGCACAGTGACTCAGGAGCATCAAAGATACCAGTATCTCCCAGTGTTTCAAAACTGCTTGATGTTATTATTTTCCTATAGAAGCTTTTCTCGCGTCAAATATCATTACACTGTGGTATTGCTCCTTTTTACTCAAGCACTGTCCACAAGATCTTTCAATGTGCATAAATGTCACATTTTTTTTAGATAAAATCCTTTACATAAACTGCACAGTGTCACGGTCCATGGATTTTCTCTTGTTTTGATTTCAGAATCCTCAGTTAATATAACAATGCTTATCTTTCAAGGTTTATTGTTTAGGTTTTGTGTCAGCGCATGCATCACTGTGTTCCTTTATTCTAAAGTAAGCCAATTCTTTGCTTTCGCTTTGAATCTTTGGTTTTCATAGCATGACAAGCTTCGTTTGAGTGTTTCTTTTTTATGTTTTGTTTTCTATTTTTAATTTATTATCCCAAGCTCACCTGCGTCCTTACATATCCTGTTTTAGTGTGTATTCTTTGGAGTTTTTAATTCTCGGTTGTCTTTTTATAGTTGTTGCCTTCCTTCAGCTTTTGTAACATTTAACATTTTAGCAGCAATCCACAGATCAAGAAAAAATCAACAATTTAAAACTGAGAAAGTGTAGTTATAATGTATTTATAATGTAGTTATAATGTAGTTATAATGGTGGCAACTATAATAGGTGGCAATTGTGTTTTGTCCCTTTTTACATAAAGCCCCTGTATGAAGGCACAGGACTGTAAATAAGCTGGAAAATTGTGTCAGGTGGCTCCTACACCACTTTTCTACAATCTAGTTATTTCTGATCACATATTCTAAAATCCTCCCTCAAGAGAGCTGTGCATAGACTAATGCCCACAAATGTCAATGAATTCAAGCTTCTTTGTGAAGACCAGTGGGCCAGAATTCCTCCACAATGATAAATGTGACTGATAAAATCATATAGAAAACAATTACTTCAAGTTATTGCTGCTAGAGGTGCTTCTACAAGATGCCGAATAATGGGGTTTACTCAGGTTTCCAACACTACTTCTGCATTTTGGCTGGTTTTTGATAAATAAATAATATAAGAGTTTGATATGTCATCTTGTTGTCCACCTTAGGTTGCATTTTTTCACAGTTTAGGACTTGCTAAAGAACAGATTTAAGAAGAGTTTGAATTTTGCTTTACTCTTGATATGGAAAAAAAGGACTGAGTCACCTTAGAAACCCAATATATGAATCTCCCATCACACACTTTATGTACTGATGTTAATGCCAGAGCACCCCCTGCCTTTTTGTTTTCATGTAGTCTGCCACCTTATGGTTGAGTTGTGATTGAATTATTACACGTAATTCTCCACAAGGAGGCAATAAAGATCTGGGGATGTTGCTGCTATTGTTAGATGCATCAACCAATGCTGCAGAGAACAACAATAAAGAAAGATCTTTATGATTGAAAAATAAGGCATTCACAACTACCATATTAATGCTGTACTGACCTCTTCAGAAATGTCATCCCAACAGCAGCATTTAAATACATGCTGTTAATAATATTAAGTATTGAAAAAGTACCCACTCACTAACATGTTTTCTGCTGCTAGAAATGAAGAGGGTAAGACTGTCTTTTCCTGTAACATTTAAACTATCTGACACTGATACCATCTAGGTCATAGGTGTCAAACTCTGGCCCACGGGCCAAATTTGGTCCGCAGCCTAATTACATTTGGCCCGCGAAGCCATACCAAATTATTATTAGAGCTGGCCTACTGGTATTATACAGCTAATATATATATTGTTTAGTATTAAGCTTTGCTTGTTCCATATTCAGTTTTTCAGAAAAACTTGTTTGAGTCCATAAGAAGAGATTCATTCTTAAATCTGGAAGAAGATTTTTTTTTCAGTAAATATTAATGTTAGCCCGCGACCTTGTTCCAGTTTTGAATTTTGGCCCACTGTGTATTTGAGTTTGACACCCCTGATCTAGGGGTTTTAATGAAGATTGTCGACTCTATTGCGAAATAGCAGAATTTATTTAAGAAGTAATGTTTTCAGGCTTAATTAAATCATTAAATGCAACTCTGTCAAAGGATGTTTTAAACGTTAATGCTTCTGTTCACTGACCTGCATTACAAAGCCCTGCAGTGCATCGGTAAGGACATTGAAAAAGAAAGACATAAGCTATAAATATTTAATTTTATACTATACTATATACATAGTAAAGACCTATAGTAATAATATATATATATCTATATATATCTATATATCTATATCTATATATCTATATCTAT